AGGTCTTTATTTTGCGTCACTTTGAATATTTCTTGCCACGCCCTTCTCGCCTGCAGAGTATATGTGGAAAAGTCAGTTGTTAGTCTTATAGGAGTTCCTTTGTATGTAACCTGTGCTGTCTTTCTCTTGCTGCTTTTAGGATCCTGTCTTTGTCTTTAGCCTTTGCCATTTTAACTATAATGTGTCTTGGTGTGGACCTGTTTGGGTTCAGCTTGTTTGGAACTCTCTGCACTTCCTGGGCTTGTATGTTGATTTCCTTCACCAGGGTAGGGAAGTTCTCTGTCATTATTTCTTCAAATACATTCTCTATCCCTTGCTTCTTCTCTTCTCCTTCTGGTATTCCTATGATGCGAATGTTGTTGCGCTTGATGTTGTCCCACAGGTCTCGTAAAGTATTTTCATTGTTTTTGATTCTTTTTTCTTTTTGTTGTTCCAAGTGGGTGATTTCTGCTATTTTGTCTTCTAAATCACTGATCCGATCCTCTGCTTCATCTAATCTACTGGTGATTCCTTCGAGTGTGTTCTTCATTTCAGTTTTTGTATTCTTTAGTTCTACCTGGTTGTTTTTATATGATTTCTCTATCCTTCTTTATGTCCTCACTAAGTTCCTGAAGCATTCTTATCATCAGTGTTCTAAACTCTGTCTCTGAAAGGTTGGATACCTGTTTCATTTAGTTCCATTTCTTGAGGTTTCTTCTGATCTTTTACATGGGACATGTTTCTTTGTTTCTTCATTCTGGCTGTTGCTCTGTGATTGCTTCGATGTATTTAGATCACCTAGAAAGAAACAAAAAAAAGAAAGAAAAACAAAAAAGGAGCGGCTCTCTGCCTGTTTTAATCTGCAGACCACTTGCTCAGCAATAGAGAGACTCTGGGCGACTCTGCACCAGCTGTTGGGGGGAAGGGCTCAGTGCGTCATGCGCCGACCTCCCTCTAGACTTGAAGTAAGCTTCCCACGATTAGTTGCTATGTGCTCTGGAACCGTGCTCACCACCAAAAATTCTCATAGGTTGTTGGGAGCTGTCTGCTGCTGCAAAAAACCCTCAGTGGCCACGGAGGTGGGTGCCAGGCACCAGGGGCTCAGGGTGCCCCCAGCAATACAGCTCTAGGTGGGTGGGGGAGGCCCCCAAGGCACCACAGGATGTTATCCGTGGCCCCCACCAAGTCAGAGCAGCATGCACTCCTGCACCAGCAACCAGCCCGCACATATGCGCCAGGAAAGCCCCAGCTGGATCACTGCAGGCACACAGCTCAAGGCCCAACACTCCCAGGAAAACTCCCAGTCTCAGCCTGTCCCAATCAGCCACTCACAGATCAGGTTGAGCAGCCCGACAGCCAATTGCCACCCTGGAAACTCGGCATGCGCAGTGTGGAGAGTGGGGACCCAAGGCGACTCGCGCACTCCCACGACTCAATGAACAGCCTGTTGGAGCCCAAGCATGCCTGCCAGGCGTTTCCCTGGCTACGACAGCACAAGCAGTGTGGAGGGTGGGAATCCAAGGCCGCATGCGCGCGCGTGCACACACCCTGCCTGTGCCAATTCCACCAGACGAATGCGGTCTTGGGCCTGACCCTCTGTGGGAGGGCCCAACCCTGAAAAAATGGCGCCCTCCTGTGCACTACTCTTGTGCAAGCTCCACACCAGGGGGGCAATGGTCCCAAAACCTCCAGCTCACGCACCAAAAGTGTTCAGTTCAGTCCTTCCCGCAGGCTCCTGGGCCCTGCTCACACAGCTACTCCCTCCACCAGAGACCAGGTGAGTGCTCACCGGCGAGCGAGTCCGTGTGTCAGCTCCACTGGTTCTCTAGCCGCCCTCAGCCTCACCAAGTTGAGCAAAGAGAGTCCTCGCTAATTTCTGTTTCCAGCTATGGTAGAACGCCTGTTCCTGGAAAAGTAACTCTGGGCTGGTGAGCGTGGTGCAGGGCCGGAGGGTCTCTCCCCCAACCGGAGAAGCCTCATCACCACTGAGGTGTCCCTCACGGGGTTCCTTTTTTTTAAATGTATTTTTTAAGTACATTTTTAAAAATAAAGAGTTAATCTTATTTTATCCCTGTCCTGTTTAAAGGTCTCTGGTGGCTTTCTCGTCACACAATAATGGGCAGGGTGTAGTTTGTACAGGGTCCTGTGAGGACTGGCCCTGCCTGTGGCGTGTCCAGCCACTCACGCCTCCTCTCGTGTCATTTGCCTTGGGGTCTTTTCCAGAGCCATCGACTCTGGACATGGACCTGCCCCACGCCCTTGGCACAGCTCACTGCTACTCATTCTTCACTGCCCTAACCCCTCGTTGGCTCCCGAAGTCAGTGCTCTTAGTGATAAAAGTGACTCAGGATAGGGTGTTTTAGTGATGCCCTATGCTTCTACCTGGTGGCATGGAACACAGTTGCAGTTGTTGGATGTTTGTCTAATCTGTGTAAAGTCTGACTTCTCTAACAGAAAGTAAGCTCTAAGAGGCCACGGAGTGTGCCTGCCTTGTTCTCGGAGGTCCCACGCAGAATAGATGCCCGGTGGATATTTCCAGAATGAATGAATGACAGGACCATGCTGTTGTGAAAGGGGAGCTGAACAAGGAGTCAGAATATCTGTGTTCTGGTCCCTCTGCTGCTGTAAACTTGCCGAGTGACACTGAGCAGCTGGTACCCCTCTCAGAGCCAGTTTCCTCATCTGCAAAATGGGCTTAGCAACACCTCAGCCCATGGATGTGGAGAGGGGGCAAGTGGGACTCAGGAGAGTGCACGCACACACCCGGCAGGAGGAGGCACTCAGTAACTCGCTCTTGGTTTTCTGGGGGCCCTGTCACTTCGCCTGTGAAATGGGGGTATTTTTGACTAAATAATTTGTCGAGTTTCTTCGAGCTCAGAATTACTGCAAGTCTTTGAACCTCCCCTTTCTCCACCCTGCTTCTCCTCATGCAACTCCTGACTTCCTGTTCTCAGTCCACAGGGAACATTGCTTCTCTCAGAAAAAGACAGAAGTCATCGTATGCAGCCAGCGTGCGGCAGTTCATCTCATACCTCTTCTCTTCCACCTCCATCCCACCATCTCACTCATTCACTCACTCATTCATTCACTCATTCAGTCATTCATTCACCCACTCACTCATTCACCCATTCACTCATTCATTCACCTACTCATTCATTCATTTACTCATTCATTTGTTCACACCTTCATTCATTCACTAACCCACTCATTCATTCATTCAGTCATTCATTCATCCACGCATGCATTCATTCACTCATCCACTCATTCACCCTCTCATTCATTCATTCATTCATTCACAAGACATTTCAAGCCTCCACCAGTGTGTGGATAGACCCTCCCGCCCTCTGATCCTGTTCCTTTAATCTGCCTTCCCACCAACTGTTGTTGCGTGGGAGAGAGAGTGCATAATCAGCAAAGCAGCAGAGGATGCTGGTGTATTTTTGAGGGCACTGTCCCTTAATTAAGAGAGATGGGTTCTAAAAAAATCCTTGCAAATAGACATATGAGGGATATTTGCTTCTTATTTGAAATTACTGAACACGGTTGCCTACAATTGATCTATTTAACATTGTTGATTTTTCCCACACTCTTTCAATTACCCTGATTGCTACCAGACAAACTTCAAGCAAGTTTTAATTTATCTTTAATGCCTTTCCCTTAACAGCTGTCCTTCTCTCTTAACAAGAAAGTCAAGTCTGGAGCACGATGTGTTTAAAGCCCTTTTGGGGTATCAAGAATATCCCAGCCTTGGTAGTAAGCATGTCATAATCAGATTGGCGTGGAGGGGGCGGGAGGCTCTGATTTGAAGTCTCAGTCAGTTTCTTTGCTGAAGATACTCCCCCCAGCATGATCTGACGAGTCGACCAGAGACGTGAACATTTGGCTAGTGAGCAATGGTTGGAATCAGCTCCAGTCACCCAGTCCCCAAGTCCTTAATCACTGTGCCCTGCCTTGCTTCCTTTCGCTGTTTCTGATCTCGATGGCACCCATGGCAGCCACGAAAGAGGCCTGGCAGTGGCCATTAACCCCTCCCTCTCCCTTGTCCCCCATAGCTCGTCACTGAATCCTGTGATTTCTCTCAGACTGGTCTTGCTTGAGTCTGTCCACTCGTCCATCCGCGCCGCCAGCATCCTGGTCTGGTCTGTCCAGGCCGCCCCCCTCTTGCTGCTGCACCGCCTCTGTTCTGCTTTTTCTGCTCAACGCCTGTGGCTGTCAACCACTGTCCACTCTGCAGACTTAAGTGACGTCATGCTGGTCTTATGTGTAAAACCTTTCTGTGGCTGTCCCTTGCCATTAGGGCAAGTTCCAAACCCTTAGTCTATCTTACCCGACACCCCCTAGCCCCCCACTCACATACACGGTGATCTTACCCCAGCCTGCCCGGCAGCCTCCTTCCCTACCTGGAACCCCCTTGCTCTCTGCACTCCAGCCGTTTGGAACTGCTCGTATTTCCTCAAAACATGCCAAGTTCCTTCTTGGCTCAGGGCCTGCCCTTTGGAGGCGCTGCTTCATCCGTCGGTATAATCACCTCTCCCCCACTCCTTGCCCAGCCCTCAGCTGGCTAACTCCTCTCATCCTTCAGGGCTTTGTCATCCTGTGTCACTTTCAGCATGACTTCTGGGGAAGGCCCTTGGCTAGGTGGCTCTCCTGGCCTCTTCAGGGTCTTCTCCACAGAATGAAACTTCTGGCAGGCCTGTTGGAGCACTAGCTGTCTTGCTTGCTGCCATATTCCCGGCATCGCCCACGGTACCTGGCATGTAGTTGGTACCCCATGTACGTTGAATCCACTTGGATCTATGTGAGTCCCAATTCCCCATTCAAAAGGAAACTCTCCATGGTCAAGCATCTTGTACTTCCTGTACTTTCTGACAGCAGTTTATTAGCTTAGCATAAAAAGTAGCTGAAGAATAATTTTTACAACTAAATTTAACTTTTTTCCCCCCAAAAGAACATCTTGAAAGGTGGTTTTCTGTTTTCGACAAAGTCATGTTTCTCCTAACAATTTTTTTTTTCCCTCCTAGGTTTCATCAGCTGTGAAACCCTGCGGATATATGGAGCTATGAGTGGGAATGTCACTTTGTCTCTACCAAGCCCTATAAGCTTTACAGAAGTTTTATGGAAAAAAGGAAAGGATAAAGTCGCAGAGTGGGATGAAAAGGATCCTATCAGAACGTACCCACCTTTTAAAAATAGGGTTCATTTAGACACTGTACATGGTAACCTCACCATCTTTAATTTAACATTATTGGATGAAGATGAATATGAAGTGGAATTCTTCTCCCTCGAGAACATGATATTTATGAAAGTCCTTAGTAAGAAGTTTGTTCTTAAAATCCTTGGTGAGTATTCCATCAATTGATTTGTTTCAAATGGCAAATTTCCACCTCTTTGAAGAGACTAATACAGGCTTACAAGTATGAGAAACAAAATATTTCATTATCACATGTTGTCAGAGTTTTCCTGTCTTTCTGGTACACAGACACTTTGAATTCCCCTGTCATCCATCCTCTGGGTGAGGAGAGGTTGTGACGGAATTGGGGAAAACAGCATCAGTTGGGTGGAGCTGCTGCCAGCAGTATCACTTAACTTGCTAGAATGTTCTGGAAAATGATTTCTTGGCAGCAGTGAACTCAGAACTCTTTGAGCTCCATTCATGGATGATGGCGCACTCTAAATTAGACTTTCTGTTTCCTCTTGGGGCTCACCCAGGAGCTGGATTTTTTTTCTCTTAGATCACTCTAAACTAGAACTGGAGATAGAATACAGGTTCCTCCATGTTTCTCGTTGATGTTTCTAGTTTATTCTCCTTCTCTCATCTCTAAAGCCCCTTCCTTGTTGCAGACATCTGTGGGCATATGGGTACCCCCCAATGTTTGGGGTTTTTTCAGTTTTATTGAGAAATGATGGTCATATATCACTGTGTAAGTATAAAATGGCCAGCATGACAGTTTGACATGCATATATTGTGAAACGATTACCACATAGGTTCAGCTAACACCCACCTTCCCATAGAGATGCAGTAAAAAAGAAAAGAAAGAGGAAAAGAAAACAAGGATAAAAAATGTCTTCTTGTTACAGGAACTCGTAGGATTTACTCTCTGAACAGCTTTCCTGTATGTCCTACAGCAGCGCTAGCTGTAGTCACCCTGCTGCATATGACACCCTAGTACTTATTTATCTTATAACTGGAAGTTGGCACCTCTTGACCACCTCCATCCAATTCTCACTCCCTTACCCTTCACCTCTGATCTTTTCTTTTTCTATGAGTTTGATGGTTTTTGTTTTTTTTTTAAGATTCCACATATAAGTGAGATCATACAGTACAGTATTTGTCTTTTTCTGACTTCTATCACTTAACACATAATGCCTTCAAGGTCCATCCATGTTGTCCCACATGGTAGAATTTCCTCATTCTTTATGGTTGAATAATATTTCGTTGTATGTGTGTACCGCAAATTATCCATTCATCCATCGATGGACACTTAGGTTGTTTCCATGCCTTGACTATTGTACATAATGCTTTAGTGAACTATGCCCCAATATTTCGATCCCTTTAGTTGCCTGGTTCATTGTCACCATTTCCAATGTTCCTGCTTTCCTAATTCTTGGTGATTGTAATATTTAGTTAAAAGTTCTTTCTAATATCCTGACTTCTCAGTCCTTGCTCTCCTGTAATGATCTTGTCCTCTTCCCTACCTTACCTCTCCCCATGGCTATGACCTAGAACTTGTCATTACCAGTAATTCTGCCCCCATTGTCTCAGTGTCAGGCATCCCACCTCTTCTGCTGGGAGCTCACTTCCTCTGCTGACGCCCTCCCTGACTTCCTGACATAGCCTAGGTGCCATGGTCATTCGCAGGGCTCACTCTGGCAGATGCGGTAGCTTCCTTGCTCCTTTTTTGACAGGTCGTACTCACCTTGTTAGTCCAACCAGGTGCAATCCAACATCCCACCTATTCTGTGCTCACACACGTGTGGCTGCAGAAAAACATGTCACCTTGCAGAGTCTCATACTTTACATTTCTCATCACTTACCTCAACTAAATCCAATTTGTCTTTCGTGTCCTCACTCACGCACTCTCCTAGCACTTACCTTTCCTCAAACCTTGAACACCTCCTTCTCCAGACCCACTCCTCAGCTGAAGGCTTTGCTTCTTGTTTCCCAGGGGAAAAGAAGCAACCGGAAGGAACTTTCTGCAACTCTCACCACCAGCCCCCCTGCCTCCCTGTACCTGACTCTCTATACCCTGTTCTCTCCCCTTCCTGTTCGGAAGTCCCCACAGTTCTCACCTCGGGCCAAAGGACCTGCACTCAGATATGACTGTAGTCATTGTACCCACTCCCTCTTTACAGTGAAATCCCCCGTGGTGGCTTATTGCCGTCAGCATGCACATAAGCGATTATTCATACCGTCATTGTAACCCTCGCATGTGCAAGCCCTCTCATGGCCCCTCTACCCCTCCAACTACTATCCACTTTTTCTCTTTCAGTTTCTCTCCAGAAAATCTCCTTGAAGAAATTGTCTATATTCACTCTTTGTAAACTCTTCTCCTGTTCACTTTTTTTTTTTTTAAGATTTTATTGGAGAATTGGGGGAAGGGAAACAGTGTTGGGGAATTGGGGAAGGTGAACAGCCAAGTTGTTGTCCTTCAGTCTTAGTTGTGGAGGGCACAGCCAGCTCAGTTCCCAGGTCCAGTTGCCATCTGGCTGTTTGACGGCAGCTTGCGGCCCCTCAGCTCACGGTGCCGTGTTCAATTCTAGTTGCGGGTGGGCGTAACCACTATCCCATGTGAGAGTCAAACCAGAAACCTTGTTGCTACGAGAGCACACTCTAAACACTTAGCCATCTGGCCACCCATTGGCAGCTCACCGGCCGCTCAGCTCAAGGTGCTCAAGGTACCGTGTTCAATCTTAGTTGCGGGTGGGCATGGCCCATCATCCCATGTGGGAGTTGAACCGGGAATGTTAGGAGCACGCGCTCTCACTATTCTCAGCGGTAGCTCAGCTCAGGCGCAGCTCACCAGCCCATGTGGGAATCTAACCGGTGACCCTGTTGCTCAGAGCTCAAGCTCTTAACCAACTGAGCCACTCGGCCGGCCCTCTCCTGTTCACTTTTAACCCGCTCTGAATAGGCTTCCCTCCGCACTGCTGTACCCAAACTCCTCCTCAGTAAATCCAGTGATCCATTCCCCTCCCACATCGCTCTCCACCGTGAGCAGCTTTTGTCACAGCTGAGCACTCCCTCTTCTTTGAAATACTCACTTCAGCTTCGTATTCTGGTTTTCTTCTAACTCACCAACCGTTTCTACTCCATTTCCTTCGCTGGTTCTCTTGTCTGTCTCCCCAGCCTCTTAACATTGGGCCTCTTCCCTTCTCTGCCTGCATTTACCCCCAGCTGGGTGAGTTCATCCCGTGTCAGGACTTACTATCTCGATGATGATTGAGATCTGGAGCTCCAGCCCACACCCCTACTGACCTCCCTGTGTGCATATCTGACTGCCTCTAACTCCACTCACACATCTAATTGGCCTCTCCAATATCACGTGTCCAAAAGTGAGTTCATGATCTTCCCCTTAAACCCATTTCTCTCCAAATCTTTCCCCTCTTGGCTAATGGCAGCTCCATCCTTTCAGTATCTCAGGCTAAAGCCTTGGTGTTGTCCTGGACATCTCTCTTTCTCTTGAACATCATGTTTGCTCCACCAGGAAATTTTGGCTCTACGTTCAAAATGTAAGCAGAATCTGACCGCCTCTCCCCACTTCCTCTGGTGCTGACCGGGCCTCCTTCATCCTCATCTGGACAATTGCAGCAGCCTCTTAATTGGTCTTCCAGCTTCCACCCTTTTCCCCTACAGTTTATTTTTAAATGCAGCAGCCGGAGAGATCTTCTTAAAACAGAAGTCAGATCACCTCACTCATCTGTTTAACCCATTTTAGAGGCCCCATCTCACTCAGAGTTAAACTTAACATCTTTCCAGTGACCTGCCAGGCTGTACGAGACCTGGCCCCGTGACCTCTCTTGGCTGTTCTTTTTTTTTTTTTTTTTCAAAGATTTTTTTTTTATTGGGGAATTGGGGGGATGGGAACAGCTCTGGGGAATTGGGGGAAGGGGAACAGACAAGTTGCTGTCGTTTTGTTCTTCAGTCTAGTTGTGGAGGACGTTGCTTCACTGGCCCAACTTGGCACCATCATTGCGCTCTTCCCGGGCGAGGCAGATCAGTCGCTGGCTTCTGGATGGCCGCTCACGCTGGCTGCTGGCTACATACAGTAGCCCATGGCAACCCACTGCAGCAGGGGCTACAGCCTAGCCATTGCCGGCGACTCACAGGAGCCCAGCTCCAGGTTGAGCTGTTGTTCAGCATCTTAGCTGTAGAGGGCAGTGTCACTGGCCCTCATATGAGGGATCCGAACCGGGGCCCTCTGGCGTCCCAAACCAGTTCTTAACCATCGCGCCACTCGGCCGGCCCTCTTGGCTGTTCTTTGACCTCTGAGTCATGCCCTTGCCTTTCCTGTGCAGCCTCTCAATTTCACAGCTGCATCTATACCCAACTCTCCCCTCTACTGGGTCACAGGTTCCCTTGTTTTATCTCAGAAGTGGGTGTAGTTATAGGCCCACTTCCTCTATCCAAAGGTGTTTTTGGAAGACCCAACTGAAGGCAAAGTGTGGAAGATGATTTCCGGGGGATGGAGAAGAGGCAGAAAGTCCCATATAGCACTTCAAGTCTGCACTCCCCAAGTTTGGTGTGAGGTAGTCGCAGTGGAACAAATGTGGTGACCAGCTTGTGGGCAGCTATTACCAGTTCACCTGTCTGGTCCCCTGGAGACATGGAAAAAAGTGAGAATTTCTCTCTTGTTCACCATGGTAGCCCCAGAGCTCAGCAAAGGATTTGAATAGGTAACAGGCCCTCAGTAGGTATTTGTTGTATCGATGAAAACAATCAAACGGGTGAATGGGAGGCCAGTGGCACCAGTGACAGAAATGGGGGCTCTCAGACTAAGTGGCTGGTTTATCTGGAAGGTGATGTACTCCATTGAGATTAACAAAGCTTGTTAAGATGTCCGGGCATCCTATTAGAAGAACCAATCGGTGCCTTTGAAGAAGCAGACTCTGCAAAGCCTGGAAGTTGGGGGATCTGGCAGTGTGTAGGGCAAGCAGACCAAAAGATTGATTGAGAATTTAGATAAGAATCAAATGCATTTTTAAGAGCCCTGTTATAAAGTATGGACAACCGAGTTCAAAACATTTGAGTACACTTCTATTTTTATTTTATTTTTTTTAAGCTGAGCCATCCTGCCACCTGTTGGCAGCTCGGCGGCAACTCAGCTTGGGCCGGGACTCGAACTGCTGTTACTCAGAGCTCGCACTCTTCAGCGAGCTCTTAACCAACTGAACCACTCAGCTGGCCCTTACACTTCTATTTTTAAACTTGATGAAATGCTGAACATTTTTAATTTTTGAAGTTCCATGTTCACTCTACAGAGGTGCATGATTTTGGTAGTCAAACCAACTGGATAGCCCTCCGGAAGCTTAGCAAAGGTCTGCCGACCAGCAAAGTCCAGGGGACCTGAGCTCCTGTCAGGAGGCAGTGATATTGGCAATATGGAAGGTGAGACTTCCCGTTCTGGTTCAGGAATCTGGATTTTAGCCTGTGGCAGTGGGAGCCATTGTATGCAATCCTGGAGCAGGGAAGTGAATCCTTGATGAAATATATTTTTGGAAGATTAATTAGAATGTGGGTATTCATGGTGGCTTCGAGAGGGGTGGCAGCAGGTCAGAGGCTACTGAGATCAGGTAGACAGAGGTAATGGTCATAGATGTTTGGAAAGGAAAGTAGCAGAAGATAATCCAAGAAAGAGTCAACAATATTTATATTTTGCTATAAAAAGACCTAAGATGACTTAAGGTTTCATATCTGAATGAGAAAGCGATTGGTCATACTTTTGTTTTAGCATTGAGGAAGTCATGGTTTTTTGAAGGTGTGTTGAGACTTTAGTGGCTTGGGTTTCATCCGGAGACACCAGGCCTAACGGAAGACTTGCAGAAAGCTTGTTTTAGAAGGGGGATTTCCTGGCACCTCCTAAATTCAGGTCACCCACTCCCTTCTGTGTGTAAGTTAGCTTTCTTTTTTCCTTCAAAATCCCCTTAAAATTTCCACTAACGTTTATTAGTTCTTTCACATCCCCTTTATGGTCTTGGTAATGTTCATGTAAATAGAATTAACTATTCCATCCTTAGATGGCCTGGACTGGTGTATGACTTCTTACTAACATTCGTGGAGATATACAAATGCCATCATATGTGGATAAGAAGTCCTCATGTCTTACAGAGTGGTGAGCTGAGTGAATTTTTGATGAGCCAGTTGCTCGGCGGCCGAGGAACGAGTCGTGGGAGACCAGAATCGGTCTATTAGAATTTATTGGGCATGTTTGAGCTGCGGGAGATCAGGCTAGAAAAGACCTTAACCTCCCCCGCAAAAAGGGGTATGGAGTTTTATATGAGGGGGTAAACGAGGTTGTTCCCCCTTCAGTGCTTCAGAGGGTTTTCATTGCATTGTCTCTCTCAACAAAGGGTTTTGGGGCATGACCAAGGTTCCACATCCTGGCCCCCAGGCCGCCATCTGGACCACCCAGGCCCACTGATCACAAGCCCCTAGGAGACAAACACAAGCCAGCAGGTTCAAGGTACAAAGCAAGACAAGATGGCTTTCGATATAAGGTTTCTGCTCGTGGCCTAAATATGGCCTAACATCAACTAATTAAGTTATTTTAGGGATAATGTAGGTACATTTCTTGCCTGTTGAATGCTCTGCAAGGGACCGATGTAACTAATATTTGTTAGATACAGCTGTGGTAAGGCCCAAGGGCAGTGAGAGCATAGGAAAGCTTCTAGACAGAAAGATCTGCGGTGTAGAAGCTCTGACCCACACGTTGCAGAAAGGTTTGCTTACGCGTTGTTGAGCTAGATAGGCAACCCTGGTGTAACGAGGCCACCAGAAAGAACCTCTGTAGAGTTAAGTGGGTTCTAACGACAAGGAAGATGATACTAGCACTTCCACATGTTTCCTCTCACAGCACTTTCATATTCCACTTGACCTTTACAATGACCTTATAGAGTATCATATTTCCTTTTTACCGATGAAAATGACACAGACTTAGCAATGGGTGTCTCCGTTTGAAGAACAAGAGCCCGGCTGGATGATTTCTTAGGCCTTGCAGCTCCTCCAGGATCTGTGTTCCAGGGTCACTGACACACCAAGCCAGGGCCAACGTTCCTACCTCCCAACCCCTGGTCCGTGACCCTTCTGCTCGAATCACACGCCCCCCTGGGGAGCCTCCCCTTGCTAGCCTTATGCTGCATTACAGCTAGCACTTGTTAAGTGCTAATACTGTGCCAGGCACTGTAATAATAATTATAATTCTTGTATGAGTTAGTATCTGTATCCACTCATTTCATCCTCATCACAGTCATGCAGGGTAGATACTATTTGCTTCCTTATTGTACAGGGCAGGGAACCTAGGCACTAGAAGTGAAGTAACTTGTCCGAGGTCAAGTGGCTTGTAGTAGTGGAGCTGGGGTATGAACCCAGGCAGTCAGGCTCCTGAGTCCATGCTCTTAGCCGCCATACCATTCTTTTTTGGAGGTGAGCTATTGAAGAATTGACATTTTATAGAGTGGAGAGAGTAATTTGAAGACTGCCTCTCTGAATTTGTCCCTCCCTCCCTCCCTCCCTCCATCTATCCCAACACCTGCCCTTCTTATTGAGGTGCCGGCTGTGCGGCTCGTATTATGTCAGGTACTGTGGTTGAAAGGCGAATAATAATATCTAGTCGTTACCCTCCAAGATGCACAGTCTGAGGGGGCTCACAGTGTACCTCTGTTCAGTTTAGGAAGTGTTTGATGAAAAACTAGACGTTGGCCAACCTAGATCAATAAGCTAGAATCTGTAAGAGAACACGGAGCACATCAGAATCCCCTGGGATGGTGGGCCCAGGAACCTGTGTTTTAGCACACACCTCAGGCCATTCTTATGCACACCGATACGTGAAAACTGGCTCCTGTAGAACACGTTTAGAGAAGTAGGGAGCTTGGCTGCCTGCCCCTGAGAACAGCCCAGCCCCACTGCCGAGTCAGGCACACGCACAGCAGTACCTGGACAGTCATTTCACTTCTCAGCCGTCCTGGAGACACTGGGGCTCCGTGCACGTGCCTGGGTGTGCCGGGCGGGAGGGGCTGAGGAGGCTGAGGGGGAGGGCTCTGGGCTCTCTGGAGCAAGTCCTCATCCTTTTGAAGGATATTGATCTGCTGCTTAAGATTGAAGTTGGAGAAAATTTTCCAGTGCTTAATAAGAGATTAAACATTCTTTTAACTAAAGCAAAACTTTAAAGCAGCATGTAACGAGTTATGTGAGCAAGATTAAACCTAAAAACCGAGAAAGCCCCAAGCAGAAAGGGAAGTGTGTGACCTGGGTTTCTACCAAAGCAGGCTGGGTGTCTGAGCGAGAAAGGATTCAGGGGGAACAGATGGGGGAAAGGTGAGTCGAACACTCCTTTTTAGATTATTGACTGGAGCTTAAGTGTTTGTCTTAGAAAATATCATTTTAAATGACAGCATATTATTCCATCATTTTGATGAACTTTAGCTTCCTGTAATTCTGTTCAGTAGGTGTTTATAATGGATTGGCATTTTATTATCCACGTGGCACCATGACTTTTTTTTGGGGGGGGGGTATATTTCATATATATATTGACATGTTTTCTCAAAATTCTTATGATGTAGTTTTGGGGGGAAAGTAGAGATGCAAGAAGGCATATGAGTGAACAAGTAAACAAATGACTAGTGGGACAGACTAATTAGCACTGAGATTTTAGAGGGCAAGGATGGTGGCGCAGTGTGACATGTGAGTGTCTTAGCCAGTGACATGCAGGTCCCGGCTGCCTTAGCCACGAGGCGCATCCGAGAGGAAAGCTGGAAGTGAGGCAGTTGTCTGACAGGGGCACATCTTACTCTGCCTGTCAGCAGGGCCAGCTCACCGTACCTTTTGCAAAACCCTTTGAGTCAGATATCTTTTGGAATGAAACATTTTTCAGATTTCAGAAAGGGAATATAAACGATTTCCTCTCTGTATTTGAAGAAGCACCCCACCACTTAGTTATAGGGGGAGCACCCTGGACTCAAGCACGTGACGATTGTTAGTAAAACATGATAATGACTCTTTGAAGTCAGTGAGAAAAATAAGCAGCATAAAACCTCATGTCCATTCCAGTGAGGATTTGCAGCTACATGACATTGCCGCCATCGGTGTAAAATCTGCTGCTGTCAGAATTGAGGATAAGGGATTAGGGGCCTGTGTGTGTGTTCTGGATTTGAGCAGGTCCACCTGAGCCAGAAGAAGAAAGAATTCTCCCCCATCAGTACTCAAGTAGGTGGCCTGCTCATCTCTTCAGACTCACAAGGAAGTTGGGAGCTCTTCCTAAATTTGCAGATGATGGGTCTAAATATTACTCTTTTTGTATTAAATATTACAATTTTTTTCCCCCCAGAGCCTCTTCCATCTCCGATCCTAAATTGTTCAGTGACTGATAGGAACATTACAGTCACTTGCAGGATCCCAGAAAATAACTACAGTCATCCAAACCTAGTAAACTATTCATGGCACTGCCATTCAGCGCAGTGTAACTACAGCGTAAATCCTGTGATGTATTTTGAGAAGGAAGATGTCCTTTCACAAGAAGTACAGTGTATCGTTAGTGATCCAGTAGACAAGAGGACATCATCGATCATTTTGGGTTCCTGTGTCCAAGATGGTGAGTAAATAACTAAATGTGCCGTGGCAGAGGTACTGTATACAAATGGGGTTCATGAACCAGTGGTGGTCTGTGGGTTTCAGCTCAATTCACAGATATAGTGGCTAACATACATTTCACAAATTTGAAATGTAAAGTGAGTTACAATCTTCACAGATACCCTGTTATACAGCTAACATTTTTAGCACTTTTTCTGTGTCAAGCACCATTCTAATACATGTGTGAATTAATTCATTCTCACACAACCCGATGAGTTGCATACTAGTGGTTATTCTTATTTTATGGGGAGAAACCAAGACACAGGAGTTTAAGTTGCTTGTTCAAGGTCCACAGCTAGTAAGCGGCAGAACCTGGTTTTGAAGTCAAGCTGTCTGGCTCCAGACCCCATGCTCCTCACTATTTACAGTACTGTTTCATAATATTCTTAATAACCATTATGTTGTCAAAGATTGCACATATGTTACAAGAATATGTATTTGATACATTTGTCTAGGCTAACGTTCAGTTAATCCCATGGCAGTCTGTCTCACCTGTGGTCTTTTTATGTTGTTTAAGTGTTAAGTACATTGTAATTTGCAATTTTATTATCTGTTTTTCACATTACTGTATCTTCACTTTACAAGCAAAAGGATCAGTGATTTGAAGGTGGTTTGTTAAAACATAAAAGAAGAGATGAATTATAGTATTGACTATAATTCAGAATAATATCGTAATTGTATCTAGTGAACAGTATTTCCAGAGTAGATAGGATGGGGCTAGGACGGGGTGACTCCTAGGATGGGGTGATTCCTAGGATGAGGTGATCCCTAGGGTGGGGTGATCCCTAGGATGGGGCTAGGATTTGGAATGATTTTTTCTCCAAACAAGCATTTGAAACAGAAAAAAAAATCAATTAGTGAATAGAATGAATATAAAAAATGTGAATTTTATTTGATTAGTGAACCATTCTCCTCAAGTCTCCAGTGTATGGTACTTTTTGAAACTTCAAATAATGGCATGAAGCCATTAAAGTTATGGTTTCATTTTCAGACAAAACAGTGTGACTTCTCAGGTAAAAACAAACACATATTTGCAGAAAAAAAGTGTAAGATGAGTTCCAGTTTGTAGCTGTTGGATTTGGTCCCTAACCACCGGGAAGGACCAAACCCACAGAGGTGTCACTCAAAGCGGCACCATTTGCACAAGTCACACAATTGCCTAGAAGATTTAAAAACCAGCTACAAACTTAATGACAGTTATGATGCTTGGAGCAAACACTCCTTTATTCATTCCACCTAGGGAGTGTGGCATAATACCAAGGCATACAGTGTAGAAATGCAGTTTGGGTGCTAGCGGATCGTTGACAATCAACACAAAACCAAACCAGTGTGCTTTTGGCTTTTGGCATGTGTGCAGTGCACATGACCAAGGAGAAAGAAGATGACCTTGTACAGAATTACCAAACAAGTGACAACCCTGAAAAGCTTCAGGTGTCCGGAGGCAAAATACTTGAAATAATTTCTGAATAAGTTCCTTTGTAGAATCACATGGAATATTTTAAGAGATTTGTAAGCATTTTTCCCTTGCACGGTTTTCAGTTAACCTTCCCATTGGGATCGAATGCTCATGTCAAATGCTTTTCCCTGAAGATACCTTGAGAAAAGATCATCACGATAGCATACCTCTCAGTGATATGAAATAAGTGTTGTGAATTTGAAAACGAACCCTTTTTGTTATTAAATAATGTGATTCATCTTTTTTCTTTTTTTTTTTTACATTTTCCCCCAAATTGACTGTTCCAATTACATTGTAGATTTTGAAAGTTTGAGAGGCATTGCTAGATAGTTCTTAGGTCCTTTAAATCCTAGAGTGTTGACATACGAGAGATATATCTGGGGTCCTGTGCTTGGTCTCCATTAACCAAATGTTGGAGGACCTTTTTCCGTTCTGTAAATTTGCAGCCTGAACTTAATGATCTAAATGGTTCTTTTCAACAAAGTCTAGGGTCTCTCTTTTTTTTTTTCTTTCCCCCATGATGATTTTCAAACACTATTCTGTGGAGTTGCGCACATCCTAGCAGATATAAATGCATGAAGGTGTAGCACTGAAATGCTGGATCTTCCTTTTTCTTACTTTTTTATGTAGCCTTTCTAATAATGCTTTATCAATGAAGTATAGTAACTCACATTGACTAACCTGCTACCTGTTTGCAGACCCGTCCACATACTGTTTCATTTGCTCCTCACCACCACTGTTGTAGACTGGCCAGACATGAGTTACTTACTTTATAAGAGGGAGGAGACAGGTTCAGCCAGGTGGGTGACTTCGCCAAGCTCACTTAAGTGATGGAGATAGCCTTAAAATGTAGGTCTTCCAGAGTTTATTTTCCGTGACACCACCCTGTTTCTATATTTCTCAAAATAAATTAAGAAAAATTTTGACTGAGTCACAGGAGTTATAGAGTGGAAACCATCCCATGTTAAATGATTGTAAAGATTGTGGGGAGTTCTGCAGGACCCAGGGGGTCAGGTTTCTTCAATCAATAACTTATGAAAGGGCAAGAAAAAGAGGTGATGGGGGAACTTACAGATTAAAGAGATTTAAGAAACGTGTTAATTCATTGAAATATATGGACCTTATTTGGTCCTGACTCAAACAAGAAAATGAATAAGAGGAGAAATTTAAACACTGATTGCATATTTGAGTATATTAAACACTTAATTAGTTTTTTTTTTTGGTTTTTTTTTCGAAATTGTATTGGGGAACAGTGTGTTTTTCCAGGACCCATCAGCTCCAAGTCAAGTAGATATTTCCAATCTGTAGGGTTGTCAGAAAAGTCATAACGTATTTTTCTGTTTTTCACTGCAAAAATGCGTCATGACTTTTCCGACAACCCACTAGTTGTGGAGGGCACAGCTCCTTGGCCCATGTGGGAATTGAACCGGCAACCTTGGTGTTATGAGCCTGCGCTCTAACCACCTGAGCTAATCAGCCGCCCCAAACACTTAATTAGTTTTTAGTTATGATAATGTCATGGTTATGTTTCATAAATAATCCCCATTTTTTTGGGGGGGCGGGGGTCATAGAATAAACATTTGTTATCACAGCACCGGTGGTCTGAGAAGGCAGCGGGTTAACACCTCCAAAAACTGCCTTCACCTTCTCAGACCAGTTTGGGGTATTTAAGGGAAACTATTCCTCTGAAGGCTACCTGACGGTTCCGGGGGTCTCCATGGAGCCTTCCTCTGGCAATGTGGCTCCAGTGGCATCAGCAACCCAGGAGCGATGATGGGCATCGCCTGGAAAGAATGCTAGACCATTGAGATTGTGATCAGTAAGCCTAAGGGTATTGATCATAAGTTTCAAGGTAATTTTCTAAAACATGGAACTGGGTGGGACAGGGGACATTCTGAGCTCAAGCTGCAAGGGGATGATCTATTGTTAAACTATAGGTCAAGGAAAGGTGAGGCTGCTTCAGGAACTAGTAACTAGAGGCAAGAAAACAGAGCAAAAGCTCATTCTATCCCAGCTGAGCAGAAAGGCGCCAGTGATGAGGGGCCCTGGTGTAACCCCCACCTCCGGGAGCAAAATCGCTCAGGAGCTGCTTCCAGAAGTCGGTTATGCACCAAGGAATCTGCCCAGTCTCAGGCAGCACCCGAGACCCTCCATAAGCGGAAAGACTTATCAGAAGAACCCAGAAGCTGTCCCGGCAGAGTCCCCAGAAACTGAAACCAGAGGGCAACCAATTCCGGGGCTCGTGCTGCCTGCACTACTCAGTCAGGAGACTGACACAGGTGCTGATTCATAGAATAAACGTTTATTATCAGAGCACTGGTGGTCTGAGAAGGCAGCAGGTTAACACCTCCAAAAACTGCCTGCTAATCCCCATCTTTTGGAAATATATACTGAAGTATTTATGGCTTAAAAACTGTGCTAGGGGCGGCCAGGTGGCTCAGTTAGAGCACGAGCTCTGAGCAACAGGGTTGCTGGTTCAATTTCCACATGGGCCAGTGAGCTGCGCCCTCCGCAACTATTGGGTTGTGGAAAAGTCATGATGCATGTTTGCAACACTTGGCACTAGTTAATTTTTGTAACTACTAGGGTCATTCACATCTGTGTTATTGCTATTTGACAGCTGACAGTTCTAGCTTCATTCTAAAAACAAATTGAGTGATTTAGTTGAGCTTTGGAGATTTTACAACAAGTTGAAGATGGAAGACCAAACTGCATTTTTGCCATATTTTACTGTTTTACTTCCATAAAGGGAAGAACGTGTGTCAAGCTTGTGAAAAGTTACTTGAAGTTTATGGTGACAGTGCTCTAC